CTAAACTTGACCCTAGAACTTGCTGTGTGCCTGGATTCGGGGTTTACTAGAAAATAGAAGATGCTATATTTTCACTCTAATTCTCTATTATGAGAAAGTTTTTTTTTCCTTTGTACTCTTCTTAGAATTGATTACTTCGTCTTACTAGTCTTAAAAACTGTAGCGAGCCATATATTTTTTTCCACATTTGCACATCAGTTGCACTTCAAATTAATTATCTGAATGTTTTGATACCTATTTTTCACAGTATAATTTCTCAGCTATTGTTAGACAGTAAACTTTCTTGCATCCTACTGTTGAGACCATTAACCCAAGTGAGCCTGCAGTACTCCAATCTGGTAATAAATGACAACCATATTGAGGCAGGAATAGGCTATTTGGAAATTCTAGAGATACAGTCAGTATCATTTGCTGTCCATTCCAAGTTTCAAACACCCTTACACATAAACAGGAGTTTGAGCAAAGATCCCAATCTGACTGCTTTTGATAAAGGTCTTGGACAAATGATTGAAATTCAGCATTTTTACTGTGGGAACAGATTCCTCTATAGTGAAATGGGACTTAGTTACAGTCAAGGTTATTCAAGGACCCATTTTGTGGACACTTGAGAAGTGTTGGATTGGAGTAATGTTAAGCAGCAAGTCATTTTATGGACCTACAAAGTACTGATGTCAGGGATCCCAGGAGAATGCTTATATAAGGTGAACTGCTCGGCTCTGACAGACCTAAATATCACTGGATAATTAGACTCAGGCAGCCATTTCCCAAGACCCACTCTTTTTTTTTGTTGTTGTTGAAGTTTTTACTTTTAAAGAATGTTCATTATTCAGGTACCCTTGTTGATGAGGTGTGCTCCCCATCCCCTGGCAATTTCCACTACTGCCAGTCCCATCCTGGCAGTTTCCCACTACTGCCCAGGCCCACTCTTAACTCACTGCAGCCCTCTTCTTACTCTGCCCAAGAGTCACACCTTACCATCATGTAGTCTACCTTTTATATACTCAAGAAAAGTCCAATGCCATGTTTCAGTCAATGATTACTTATGAGAAATTTTCCTACTATTATTGGAAAATGCTCATCCTTGAGTTATTTTTCTGATGATTAGGACATCCTCAACCACTGTGTTACAGTAGTGGAAGTCTCTCACTGGCTCCAGGGACAGGATTGGTACCCATGTGTACTTCCTTACCAATAGCAAAATACGTTGTTTTTCATGCTGTCAAACTGACAACTCTATCTTGAAAGTATTGGGTAGAGTAATTTTTTTTTTTTGAGTTGGAGTCTTACTCCGTTGCCCACGTGAAGTGCAATGGCATGCTTACGGCCACCCCAGCATCAACCTGCTGGGCTCTGGCAATCCTTCTGCCTCAATCTTCCAAGTAGCCGGAACTACAGACACGCGCTACCATGACTGGCTAATTTTTTATTTATTGTAGAGACAAGGTCTTGCCAATTTGCCTGGGCTGGCCTTGAACCAGCGGGCTCAGGCAATCCACCCGTCTCGGCCTCCCAAAGTGCTGGTATTATAGGTTGAGCTACTGAGCCTGGCGGGTAGAGTAATTTTGCTGCCTGCATTTTTGTCCTGATTTGGTGAAGGGTTCTTCTGTTGAAGGAGCTGCCCGACAAATAAAAAGAGAGAAGACAGGCTGAGAGGAGGGAGGCCTGGAAAACATCGTTTGGGTAACCCACACCTGACTTCTTATTCATCTCTCTCCTTCACTACCCTGTCGAGCTCTTATTTCTCAGACCAAGCATATTTCTTCTTTATCCCAAGTGTGACATGTCAAAGCCAGACAGCCAAAGACAGAGGTGATAAGGTCACTACTCTGCAGTGGTTGGCAGGGTTGTTTTGGTTTATTCTGGTATAATGACAAATGAACATAGCTTGTACTTTTAACTACTGCAACCCTTAACTTTTAGTACAGCAGTAAGTCAGGTTGCTGCAAGCAAGTACATAAATGCAGTTAGTAGGATCTGGTGTTCCTCGGGGATAGTGCAGGCAATAGGTATAAACAGGTATAGTATATTGTAGACTCCAAACTGCAGTTAGAAATTTGCTTGATATTTTTTCAGGAAGAAAGAAGAAAGTATTAGTGAGTAGTGACTGTTTATTGCATTGGCATGAAAAACTTTTGCCTAAGACCTTCAGAGTAACCATTAGCAAGTTGCTCTGATAAGCATAAGAATTAATACAATTCCCATCAGGAGGGTCAGTAACCATGCAAAAGCTCTGCTCTAACATGATTTTACCTGATAAATTTTAAACCTTCTCTTCAGGTGTTTTTAAACTTAAGCTACTCAACAAGAGATTTGGTTTCAGGTTTTATTTTGTTTTTTAATTTTATCTTGGTGCCATTTGACTTGGTAGAAAAACTAAAGATTAAAATTTGAGTAGACACTGAAAAAGGCATAGAGCTCAGGACTCTGAATAATCCATCTCTGAGTTATCAGTCATTTAAAGAAGATTATCAGTATTCTAACAGATTAAAATTTTATTTCCTCCAGACAAAGCAAAACTTTAAAAGAAGAATAACTTTTTTTCAGCCTTCTGTTATTTTAACATCCTGTTGCATGACTTAGGTCTGTGGTAGGGCTTATTACTGAAAATCTAGCCCTTTTTTTTGAAAGCACGTTTTTGCTCACCAATCAGTGTTCTATTTAGACCACTTCCCTTGTTTGTTGTATAGTCTTTCCAGGCTAGTTGTTCATTTCCCCCTTTCTTCCAGTTTCCTAGTAGAATGCCTTCTGCCAAGAGATGGGAAACCTGGATTTCACAGCAGTTGGAAATTGGCACTCTTTTCTCTGGCATTGCATTCTAATAGTACCATATCGGAGTGTGACCTACTTATGCCAAGTCAGTGGAGTTTTCCTCCAAACAAAGGGCCATGGTCTTCCATCCCATTCACGAGGCACGCAGGCTTGCCTGCAGACCAAACAGTTTGGGAACCAGCTGCCAACCTGTGCTGCTGCGCAAGGGAAGAGTGCCTGGAGCCATGTACAGATGTGGTTCTCATTCCAGGCCTAATTCTTCAGAACTGAATTTCACTGAGCTCCTGCTGGATTCCACCAAAGGCAACCGAATGTGAACTACAGAGAACAAGTTGCTTTTGTGCACTTTTCAGACATTTGCAGTGATGACCAGGTTTTCCTGACTGTGTTACACCCTACCTCACTTCCCCTTTGCCACTCTGAGAAATTTTCCTTTTTTTTCCCCTCTCTCCACACACAATTTTCCTTTGGCAACAACCTTCGTTGTCACCAATAGTATAATCCTCATGAAAAGGAAGAGAAATTAAGGGGCCTAAAGGACTCTGTGACTGGAATGAAAAGGGGCTTATCAGCCTTTTTATGTAGCTTTAAATACTCTTACAGAATGTTTGTTGGTTTGGAATAACTGAAACTGCAAGTAAAACAACTGGATAGTGGCCATCAGCCTAAGACAATACATTTTTCTTTGTTTTCCTGGCCATGTGGTTCCCTGAATAGGAAGAGTCTTCAGGCAGAGTCACGCTGTTTGTGGTTAAAATTCCTTCATCTGTGGGATGGGTTACATCAACAGTATTCATTCTGCAGGTGGAATATCATGCTAACTGGGAGGAGCTTTGTGTACTAGTAGTAAGCCTTCACATGCTCTGTGGTGGAAAAAAGGAAAGGGATAAGTACCAGGCTTCATTTGTGTATCAAAAAACACTTCTTAGAGGTGTAAAGAAAAAGAGAAAGTGATATAGTGGTGGTAAAGTTGGGTGACTCATGTTAATTGATACTGAATGCAGAGGAGAGCTAAGCATATTTGATGAACATAACATACAAGTGGTTCCACCAAATGACTGCAAAATAAAAATCTGTCCATCAATTTTTAACAAAAACATGGGAAACTTTTAAAATATTACTTAGTGAAAAGCAGTCTGGCCGGGCGCGGTGGTTCATGACTGTAATCCCAGCATTTTGGGAGGCGGAGACGGGAGGAATGCTTGAGACCAGGAGTGCAAGACCAGCCTGGGCAACATAACGAGACTTTGCCTCTACAAAAAAATTGGAAAATTAGCCAGGCGTGGTGGCTACTGGGGAGGCTGAGACAACAGGATTGCTCGAGGACATGGTGCCCTCCCGCCTTGGCAACAAAGTGAGAACCTTACTCAAAAGAAAAGAAAAGAAAAGAAAAAAGTAGTCTTGAGTCTTAAACAACCATAAAATTAACTTGCGCATTTGAAGATGTGTGAGAGCACAAACACAAGACTTTCTTCAGAGTAAATTAGAACAATTCTATCCAAACCCATATGGTAATTGCGGTAGTTTGAAACTGTATTAGCTCTGTGTTCTGCCATTATTTTTTGTTTTTAAGCCATAAAACTTTTAAGCTCTAAATTAAAGGCTTGTTTGTTTTGTTGTTTTTGCTGGTTTCTTTCTTTTTTATTTTTTAGGGGTGAGGGGCATCGTTTGTAGGTTTGGGGGCAGAGTGAGGCTTTTGTGTATGTGGAAGTACCTCCTGGCATTTTTTTTTTTAAAGATTATCAAATGTTCTATAGGGCAATGACGTCCAACGAGAAGTCATGAAAAGTAATTAAAAGCTTAGAAAATAAGACATGGGAACAATGATCTTTAGATTTATAGTACTGTGTCTTAGATTTTTCTTCTTATTAAATAAACCACTCCTTTGAATAGGCAGTTCTCTATACTGTATTCCTTTCCAAACTTGATACCCTTTTGCTGTTTGAGCTGAGAATAATTCTGGGATGATTTTGGTAATATAATACTGATACTTTTTTGCGAGTTTATACAATTAATACTGAACTGCTCAATTCAGAGACTTCCTTTTACCAAGAAAAGACCGTGCTTGCAAAGATCATAGTGGCTGACTGCTTGATTAAGTAACCAATACTGGGTATATTTCTCTTTTGCTATGAACACATCAATGAACCTATTAAAGCAAGAAAATAAACATTTATAATTCAGCAATTTTTAAAAAATCATATTACAGTTTGTTTTTCTATTTTATACAGGAAGAATTTAATGGAAAATGTGACTCTCTCTTTTTTAATGATGGCCAGCGAAGAATTGACTTTGTTCTAGTATATGAGGATGAAAGTAGAAAAGAGACCAGTAAAAAGGGTACAAATGAAAAACAAAGGGTAAGTTTTTGATGCTATTTTCCTTTTTTTAATTTCTTAGAATATTGTGAAATGAAAAAGTGCCATTTTCATGTAAGTATTAAAGTGAAGCTGGTGTTGAAATATCATACACCAGATATACTTTCATATTTTCTCTGCTCATGTTCCCTCAAGGCATGTTAACAAAAAATTTTTTTAATTTGGAACAAACACTTCCTCAGGCTCTTAACCTCAGTTGGTTTCACAGCTGAAAGCAGACTTTCTTTCAAGGAATTGGACTTTCTGTTGTGCAGAAGAGATTTACATTAAAAGCACGACTGACTATCTTCAACTATGTGGGAAAAGAAGCGAATGCTTAATAATGACATCAAGTGTAATAATAACTGACAATCAATGTGTACTCATTCGGGTGTTGTTCATGCATTTAGCATACATGCTCTCATTTAATTCTCATAACACGAGGCAGGTTCTATAATCACACCATTTTATGGATTTCAGAGTTGACCCGTAGGGAGGTTAAATGATTGCCCAAAGTTGTAGTCTGGCAAGTCAGGGAGCCCTGGCTCAAACTGTCTTGAAACTAGAACTTGTGTTCTTGACCTCTGTTTTTTTTTTTTTTTTTTCCTGTTACCTCCCTTTCTATCCATTGCCAGTCAAGCTGTTATTGCCTCCCTTTCCTTGCACCAAACTCTTTTAGGTAACAGGGCAATCTTTATCTCAAAATATTAAGACAGTAGGGCAAGGTTATAACAATTGCCTGAAAGGTTTATAATTGTATCAAAACTGCATTAAACTAAAACAGGAAAAAGAGGAGTACATACATATGTCACTTTCTCCCACTTTAGGAATTATTCCTCGTTCTTTTTTTTTTTCCTTCTCTCTGCTCACTGTGTGCTGTCACATACAGAATTTTAATAGTTCCTGTCTGGACTGTCTCCCTGAAATATGCCAGTCTTAAATCTGTTGATTTCTGCCTCTTTCAAATCAAGTGATGAAACCTTTTTAAAAATTAAGCAATCAATACTGTTTTATTATTTGTTTGGGAGAGTAAGTTTGGAATTTTATATTTGTGTGGTACAAAAAAATGAGCCCAGACTTTGGAACCTGACCTTCAAGTTCTATTTCTGCCACTGTATTGGGATAATTCTAGTTGTAACAAGCCCCCAGATTACAGTGGCTAGACACACAGTAAAAGTCTATTTATTGCTCACGTCAAAGTCATATGTGGCATTCCTGTTTGGCACATGGTTTGGAGTTGGGTCTCTGTTTCTTGCGGTTGTTAAACCCAGGCTCACAGGCTCTGTGGTATTCACCAGGTAATTTTCAGGGTCATCCTGTGCTTCAGTATAAATGGCAGATAGAGTAAGAGAGAGGATGAAGAAAGTACTCATGCTTCTTCAGCACTTTGACCTGAAAGTCGTCAGTTGTGTTCCCATCCTGTTGATCAGAAAGTATAGTTTCTGTCTGGGTAGCTCTTCCTCAGCGGAAACTTCACACTAGAGAAGGGGGGAGCATGATATTCTGTAGTAGACAGCTAGATAGTCTTTGGCACAGCTACTAACTGACTGTGTGACTCAGGCAATTTTTCTTGTCAATTTTTTTTTTAGCATTTGATATCTCTGAAATCAGGTTGCATCTTACAAATGGTGTATCATAATTTCATTGACTGAATTTTTTCTTGTTGGTACACAAAATACTGGCCCACCATATAAGCAGTGGCATCTTAGATTTGGGAAAATGGAGTGCAAATACCTAGTCCATATAATTATGGTTAAGATTAAATAGAATCAGCAGGGCACAGTGGCTCAAGCCTGCCTGTAATCCAGCTCTTTGGGAGGACAAGGTGAGAGGATCGTTTGAGCCCAAGGGTTCGAGACCAGCCTGAAAAACTTGGTGAAACCTAATCTCTACAATAAATCAAAAAATTTAGCTGGGCATGGTGGCACACACCTGTAGTTTCAGCGACTTGGAAGGCTGAGACGGAAGGATCGCCTGAACACACCAGGGCGAGGCTGTAGTGGCCATGAGCATGCTACTGCACTCAACCTGAACAACAGAATGAGACTCCAACTCAAAAAAAAAAAAAAGATTAAATAAAATAGCATATGTAGATGTTACACAAAATTTTAGCATCTATTAGATAGTAAATGTTAGTTTGTGTACCTTCCTTTTTTATTTGGGATTTTTTAAAAACAACACCCTGGGATGGAAAGGCATTACTCCTGTTATTATACAATTTTATCACTAGGGTAAAATAGCTTGGAGTAGTTTATCATTTTCCTGTGGATACTAAGATATATTATAGGTAGTCATAGTCACCATCATCAAATATTCATTAAGCATGCATATGCCAATGGATCTGGATTGAGCCCTATATAAAGTAAATTAAACAGATCTAATCCATTAAAGTATAAAGAAAACAGTTCTGGGTTTAGACAAGAGCTTTACTGCCATGTTGAAGTGGCCTTCAAGCTGCTTACATTATTAATAAGTTCTGCATTTGCTTTAGACAGAAACATAGGTCCCAGGGTAACTCTCATAAATCAGGAGAAAAAAAAAGTCATTATTAATTTTGGCAATCCTTGAACTCATGGATGATATAACTGATGTTGGTTTTTATCAGCTGTGCTTTGAAGTGTTTTCAGGCTGTATTTGCACATGTTAGTTAATTTATAGTTGACCAAAATTCAAAGCTCAGCTTTTGAATCCCATTTTTATTAATTGGGAAAACATTTGTGAGTTCCATCATACTTCTTGTCAGGCCTTATGCAGGATTTAGGACAGTACCAAGGAAAAGCAATTTCAAAATCCTGGTTTTTTTGAAAGAAGAAATTTATGTGTAAATCATATTGATTTCCTAAGGCAACACCAAGGTTGACTTTGCCAGGGTTTATCTAAAAAGTATTGTTAAATACTTTTTCAGGCCTGGAGAAAGATAGAAGTGATAGGGCCATAAACACCAAAAATACAGAGAATTTTAAAAGGCAGTATCATCCCTTGAGCAAATGAGGAAATACCTTTCTAGCCAAACTATCAAAGAGCATATCCATTTATACTAGTGAGTACACTTCAGAAACATACTACCTTCCTTTAAAAAACATAAACCGTTTTCATTTGGATTTTGCATGGGGATGATTATAAGTTGTTAAAACAACAAGCACTTGTTTAGTCTGGTACAGAATCAGTTTGAATGTTCCATATTGTAAGTAACAGGAAAGCCAAACTCAAAATGGCTTCAGTGCGAGAAGGAAATAATTATTTTCTCATTTAAGAAGTAGTCCAGAGATAGAGTCATTTGGGGGTTAAGTGATGCCCTGCCATCCTTAGTGCATTGAAGAAGAGCATCATTGACTCTTCTTAAATTGGCTGCAGATAGTTGCTGCAACTCCAGGTAGCCAGAGGTAGAAAGAGGGAAAGCTCTTTCCCAGGGCCTTTTTTTTTTAAAGAAAGAGGAAGGCTCCTCTAGAAGGGCCCTTAGCAGACTTTCCTGCACAGTTCATTGTCTATCACAGGTTTAAAATCAACTACTGGCAAGATGAATGGAATTGTTATCATTAGCATAGACTTATGAATATTGGACCTTCATCTCTTAAATCGTCTGATCACCCAGTACCTGAAAAACAATCAGAATTTTCTTAGTAATAACAAAGGGAGAATGGCTGTTTGGTAGGCAGCCAGCAGTGTCTGGCACGGTATATGATTAAATATATCTAAATATGTTTGATCCATATTGGGAAGTGCAAAGATACTTTACATAAAACAAATTTCCATATATTTATCCAACTCCTCTTGCTCAGTTTTGTTAGCAATTGCTTTGTTCCTCCTACTTCTTTTTGCTGGAACTGCTAACAATTGGCAGAATTGATCTTTTGAATTTTTTGTCTGACACTTGCCTCCCTTCAAACAGATGTGTTCATGACCAAGTAATGGTATAATACAGATCATGATAGAGAGGGTGAAGAGGTCTAGATAGCACAAAAACAGTGCAAGCAATCTTCAGGATGTTTTACTTTTATATTTGCTTATTTTTTAAATTTATGTATCAATTCCTAAAAGTTGATGGAAAATTTCTAGTTTTGAAGTTGATAAAAAGTTTATATATGGATGTATAAATGTGTATGTCATATCTGACCTTAAGGATTCTTTAGTGTGTGGTAGAAGGATTTAGCCAATGGAGACTGTAAAATAAGGGATTTTTTAAAAATTAGTGATCAAACTTACTTTATATGGTTATTTTATTTGAATTTTTGAATACTGTGAGACAGCTGACTAATTGGTCACAGGATCTATGACAAAGCTGAGATCGATCCTATGAACTTTTAAAACTATTACCCATTGTTTCAGATGAGTCATCATGAAACCAGAATTGTTTTCTTAGAATCTGGTTTATCTAGAGATCTCTTAGGAAATGTTTGATATGGACACAGTAAATCACTCTATTTATTGAGATCCTCTATCCTTTAGTAAAGCTTTATAATATAGGTTGAGCATCCCAAATCTGAAGCGCTCCAAAATCAAAGGAAATGGTCACTGGAGCATTTTGGATTTTCAGATTTGAGATGCATGACCAGTAAGTATAGTGCAAATATTCCAATTTCTGCAAAAATCTGAAATTGAAAATACTTCTAATCCCAAACATTTTGAATAAAACATTCAGCTTGTAATGTTAATGAAGTTCATGTACATTTTTATTAACTTTTCTCAGTTACTTTGAACTCTTGTTGCTGTTGTCAGAAGCATTTTCAGTTACAGTGTGATTTACTGTGTGTAAAGAAGTCTTGATTTTTATAAATTGCTTAGGAACCTTGATAAGCTCTTTTTAATTTTATTAGTTTCCAATGCAGCTTTTAAGTTTTCTCAGATGAAGACCTTATTATCTACAAATGATGACAGTTTTCCTCTTTATACTTTTTTTTTTGTCTAAGTATAATGGCTGTGACCTCTGAAATAAAAGCAGTAGCACATGATAGTTATCATTATATTGTTCCTGATAATGGAAATGTTTCTAAAATTTTACCATT